CACAGCCGTTCTCGGCAACCGTTTCCATTCTTCCTTTCCACCCTTCCATTCCATCCACTCTTTTCGCCACCGTTCTTTTTTCCTTACCTAATGCCGCCCGATTTAACATCTCCCGGATATCGTTGAACCTCTACTTTTCCATTTCATGTTTCCCCGTCGATTGCGTTCCAGCGTCGAATCGACTTCCATCCGATGTTTCTCCGCGCGTATCTCTATAAGGGCATCGTCGATTAATGGCACGGGTTCGTTTCTTTCGTAAGTACATACGTGCACGCACGTTTCAAAGCGACTTTACACCTACATCTCGAGAAGCGTGGAACGCAACGCTGGTGTGTACAGCCATAGTTGCACTGGCGCCGTTTTAATTTCCTACCTTTTTTTATCTTTATACGCTCGCGACACGGTCGCCACGTATCCGCACGCGTCTCCCGTCCTATTCCGCCATTTCTCTATCGGTTCTCGCTTTTGTTCCGGTGCTTCACCATATGGGAACGGCGGTGAGGCCCGGGGAGGGTAAGTACCGCACGCAGATGCGCGACCAACATTATCGGAAGTCTTAATTGGTTTCAGAGCCGAACGGGGCATGTTGTTCGAGCGAGCGCGCGCGTCCGGCAACTTCTCGACGTTTGTTTTTTTTTTTTCTTCCCGCGAACGGCGAACGGCGAACGGGAGGCGCTATGAAATTGCGTACGCCGAAAGAGCAGGTGATCGCAGAAAGGATGGCCATGTCGTCGGTAACGATCCAACTGAACGTAATGCGCGAACACACGCGTGGCGTCAGGTGTTACTAGCACGAGAAAAACGCCTTCTTTCCTACCTTATTAGCGACGAAAACATGTTTTGTCCGATTTCGAGCACACCCCGTTCTCGTACGTATCTCTCGTGACACTTGGATCGAGGCTGCTGCGACAGACGTTCAAGACCTGCTACGCGCGCAGGAATTTGCCAGACCGAGAGCGACCACCATATCGCAACCTATCCGTTTCGATTCGCGATTCCATTTTTTTCTCCGTTATTATCGTCGTCGATCGATACGAAACTCGGGGAAAGTTGAGGGAGAGAGGGAGAGAGGAGAGAGAGAGAGAGAGAGGGGAGAGAGAGAGAGAGAGAGAGGCAGACAGACAGACAGAGAAAGAGAGAGAGAGAGAGACAGACAGACAGAGAAAGAGAGAGAGAGAGAGACAGAGACAGAGACTGGTTGTCCGTGGCGTTCTTCTGTCAGGTGCAAATTTTCTTCGAAACCCGAATAACCAAAGTCGTTCGAACGAGGAAATTTCAAAGACAAGCGTTACGACAGGTGGACGCAAGCGGCAGCCTCTCTTACCTGTCCTGCCGGTCAACGCGCGAGCATACCTCCAACCCGGAAGCTACTCAAATACACCAGTATCGCGTATACTTTGTCTCTCGATCGTTACTCCTTGTTAACCCGACTGTTTGCTTTTCGCTCATCTCACCGCCGATATTACGCGTTACCTATGGAACGCAACGTGTCCTTGGAATACGATCATCTTCCTACGTTCTTTAGGCATTTTTGTCTTTCCCCTGTTCCACGTACTACGGTCGGCAACGACGATCGCTCTTCCCGGCAACCTCGGTGGTGGCGAGAGCCATTTCTATTTTCCAGTTGAAGGAAAGAAGCTCGCGTGACCGCACCGTGTGCCCGCGGGGGCGTTCGATTTCGAGTTCTTCGAATCGCGTGTTGGCGTGAGCGGAGAGACGATCGTTTGTTTTTTGCGGCTCTCAGCAGAGGACATCAACTCACGGCGGCGATCGGTCAGCTACGATTCGAAGGAGGCTATAGTCAACCGTTTTACCACGGTCTTTCGAGCGCCGCGGGGCGAGTTACGATGGGTAGAGTGTGCGCGCGCGCGCGCGGTGAGGTGTGCTGCCGTGGTCGGATTGCCTTCGGTTCGCTTCGGTTCGCTTCGCTTCCACTCGGTTCGGTTCGCTTCGGGTTCGCTTGGGTTCGCTTCGGTTCGCTTCGGGTTCGCTTCGGTTCGGTACAGTAGGGACCGCAACGTCGATGCGCGCACCTTAAACGTGGGCGGATTGCTTGGTCAGCCGCCTCGGGTGTTTCTCACCCGCATGCCAGGCATACGTGCCGCTCATCTTCGCCGCTTTTCTTTTTCCTCTTTCTCCCACGCGATCCCATGCCTTTCTTCCTCTCCGTTTACGCTACCTGTTCCCGTCTTCTATCGTGCTTCTCTTTTGCGCCGTTCGTTCATTCTCCTTTTTCGCGATTCACTATTCTACTTATTCGCTTCGCTTTTACCAGTTTTCTTTTTCTTTTCCTTCCGCGTCGCGTTTTTCCCTTTCACGTCACGCCGCGCTTCTCGATCGGCGTCGACTTCCGAATTCCTGCATTCGTGTGCCGCTAATCCGACAGGCCGTTAAAAAAGGTCGTTCAAAAGTAAAACCGCGTTGAAAGGGAAGCGGCGTTGAACATTGGCTCTTGCATCGCCCTGAGGAAGTTCCCATGAATCGGGGGCGGCAAGAAGGCAGTTCGCTGCGCTCCAAGTTCTTTCTTTGTTACACGTGGGCATCACTCTTCCACAGCGAGAGAACGGTGCGTGCAGCCGATCGATCTCCAACGGGGTTATTACGAGAAGAGGCCTCGATAATCGGTCAGAACCGTTTCTTCTTGCGTTTTTAGCTTCACCGTCGTACAATTCTGTCAGTTGTATCGCTGACGATCGAAAATCTCGGCAAATTCTCCGTGCGTATTATATTCGTATTTATTTATTTATCTGCGCGTAGCTCATGCTTTACGACGATACGACGTGGCGATATTTTCGTGATCGCGATACACGTGAAGACTGCGTCCGATGCGCTGTGAATACCGTCATCAGGAACGCATATACTCGAGTCAGCCAGTCGATTGACGTGGTACATAGCCCAAGTTCGTACAAAACTGACGCGACGTCACACGACGC